TTCAATTTATTGCCACAAATAACCTCAAGAGGCGAATCAGTACTCTGATATCAAACTGAATGGTTTATCAGTCTCCTGTGAGGATGGCCAAAGGGAGCTGTCCTGCCCACACTGCCCTCTGAGTAGCCTAGTGCCCCGCGGGTCTGACTGTGTGTGGGGCCATACGCAGACTTGGCCTCAGGATGCAGACAGGGCCCTGTCTGGGATGTGGCACGTCTTGGGGCCTCAGTTGCTAGCTGCCTTGTACTGGGTCGGATTGTTTCCTCCTCCACAATCTCTGGACTCCCTAAGGGAGGAACTCTAAATTCCACTTCCATTCTGAGGGCAGGAACTATAAATTCCATTTCCTTTTTTTTTTTTTGAGACGCTCTCGCTCTGTTGCCCAGACTGGAGCGCAGTGGCACCATCCTGGCTCACCGCAACCTCCACCTCAGGCAATTCTCCCGCCTCAGTCTCCCCACTAGCTGGGATTACACGTGTGCACCACCATGCCTGGCTAATTTTTGTATTTTTAGTAGAGATGGGGTTTCACCATGTTGGCCAGGCTGGTCTCACTCCTGACCTCAGGTGATCCACCTGCCTCGGCCTCCCAAAGTAATGGGACTACAAGCGTGAGCCACCATGCCCAGCCTTCCTTTTCCTTAACATAATCTTGCCCAAGTCAGGTGGAAGCCTGGGTATTCTCTCTCCTAAACATCTCTCCTGCCCACTCCCTCCTCTTCCCTTAACTTCCCTGCAAGCATTGGTCTAGGCTCTGGTCACTTGCCTGGACTGCTGTAGGAGCCTCTGAATCCATTCCCAGGCATTTAGTCTTGTACTCTGCCCAGCAGCTAGGCTCTCTCTGAAACACATCTGCAAACTTGCCCGGCAAGTAGAGGAAATCTCGCAGTTTCTAGATATGTTTCCACCCATCACCATGTGTTTCTCATTGAGATGGCTGAATTCTTGTTTCGACCCTCTGGATCACAAAACTCTCCTAGCAGTGCTAAGTGTTATTGGGAATGGGTGCAGAGCACATTGATGTATTCATGTACAACTCCAGGAGTCCCTTCTTTCTTACCTTACCTTGTTTTTTTTGTTTTTTTTGTTTTTTAGACAGGAGTCTTGCTCTGTCAGCCAGGCTGGAGTGCAGTGGCGCGATCTCAGCTCACTACACTACAACCTCTGCCTCCCAGGTTCAAGCGATTCTCCTGAGTAGTTGGGATTACAGGCATGTGCCACAAAGCCCACCTTATTTTTGTATTTTTAGTAGAGATGGGGTTTTGCCATGTTGGCCATGCTGGTTGAGAATTCCTGGCCTCAAGTGATCCTCCCACCGCACCCGGTCCATATAACTTTTTTTTTTTTTGGTGACAGGTTCTTGTTCTGTCCCCCAGGTTGGAGTGTTGTGGTGCAATCTTGGCTCACTGCAACCTCCACCTCCCAGGTTCAAGTCATTATCCCAGCTCAGCCTCCCAAGTAGCTGGGATTACAGGCACCTGCCACCACACCTGGCTAATTTTTGTATTTTTTGTAGAGATGGGGGTTTGCCATGTGGGCCAGGCTGC